TTCTATTCAAAAATATTCATTTTAAATTCCTGAAGGGTTATTTTATCCACTTTCTTTTGTTTTATTATGTTTAAAAAAGCAAACACACTTTATTTTATTGAACTGGGAGGTGTGGCTTTTGGTTTGCCATATAAAATCTGTAATAAATCATGCATTTTAGCATTATTAAAATTTTACACAATAATTCTTYTCAATGATCTTGCAAAATCTGTTGAATGTTATAAGGTGAAATGATTCAATGAGAAGTCTCTTTCCTGCAACTTATTTTCTGGCTGTGTTTTCTGTCCCTCTGTGGACGACCGGTTGTCACTGACCTGTTGTCTCCTCTGTTTTTGCACTGCTGAGCACATTGAGGGCCTTGTCCATGGCCTCCAGCTGCATGGTGTACACTGTGTTCGGGGACAGCGAGGAGACGGAACYCATCACCGTGTTGCCACTGAACTGGGCGAAGACCGGGGGTGCCGGAGAGTTCTTGGGGGTCGCTGTGACCTTGTAGGAGCTGGCCCCAGACTGGCCGCTCCACTGYACCGTCATACTCTTTGATGTGACCGTGAACACTGACAGACTGATGCCTGAGGGGGATTAGAAAAGGGATTAAATGTTTTTTTTTTCAATAAAAGATTTAAATGTTAGTTTGTGTAAAACAAACTAGAAAATGTGCATAATAGTTTAATTTATAACGCTAAACTTCTGGAAATTTAAAAACGAGTAGTAGTTACCATTTTGAGCAGTGCACATCTGGAAAAGACAAGTTATGGACGGTTAATAAGTGGAACAAAAAAACACTATGATGCTAAGAGGAAGCAAACATCATTCCGGAGGCAGCAACCTGTCAGTATTTCACATTATATCCTGAGGCAAATTATGTCCTGTATCATATTCTGGGAGCATGAGGAGCAGCAGGCTGCACATTACATTCACTCAACACAGATTTCAGGTCTGTTCAGAGCAGGTATTTCTTTCAGGGTGGAATGAATTTGTCTATTGAGCTAAGCTTGAGCCCGCCACACGCACTTGTTGAAAGCAGTGACCCTCAAAAGAGCCTGTGTTTGTGTAAAAAGCTCCTCCTCTGTTCTAATCTGCAAATGTAAAATATAAAAAGACTGAAGAAAGATGAATAATGCATAATGATAAGAAAATATTCTTATTTTTTGTAACAAATTTTTGTTCAAAAACTTTTGACAGAACCAATAATGAAATCGTTTTCACTTACCCCTGYAAAGATTAATAATAGTARAAGTTTTAAAGTCTCTAACTGCATTGTTCCCATCCTTTTAGGGKTTTTTTCTGCCTGGAGGAGAGATGATCTTCAAACTGACTTCAGGGCAGCAGCTCTGGATTAAAATAACCCTTTTTTTTCCTACTCTCCCCCCACCTTTTTTTTTCTCCCTCCCAGATGAGACGACAGGTGCTTTATTGTTTCAGCAAATACCWAAAGGCCCAAAGGCTGTAACTCCACCCCTCAGGGTTGTTTAAGTGGCCTATCAGAGCGAGAGATGGAGGCTGGAGGACGATGAAGATAGTCCTACTGATATTAMAAACCATTCATGAATCGTTTTCATGTCAGATAAGCAGAACCATGGTAGTCTTGAACCCAGGRCCTTCTAGTTGTGAGGCAACACTGCTAACCACTGAGCTACCAGGCGATGACCCGTTTCTGCTGCTAAGCCTGAAAGAAAGGAAAGTTTGGTTTCATCAATGTTCACCTTGCCGTTTGATTCACTCATGATAAAACAAATAATTCCCAACTCTCGCTGGTAAAACACTAATCTGTTTTTTATGTAAAGATATGCTAATATATTTTGATATTTAATCAGTTTAAAACACGTTTAAGGCAAAAAAAATGCTTGTTTTACGATAAATCTACAATTAATCTTTAACATAATAAGAGTCAGTGAGTGCAAACTCAGTTTATCTGTCCTCTTCTAAGAATAATCCTTACTGGAACATGTTTGAGTGTTTAAAGTAAAAGCTTTAGTGAGTTTTGACTTGATATTTTTTTTAAATGTGTGACCACAAGATAATTTTGAACAATATCTCTTTGTGACAGATACAGCCATTGTTGGAGTATAAATACGTAGCTTTTGTTCTTAATTGCTCAACAGTACCCCACACTTATTATATTATTATTTGGTGTATGTTTAATCTAAATGGTTAATCTTTCATGGTATTTATGAGATGACAATGAACACCCTGGGTGTGTGTCAGGAAACATTTTTTTTACTGTGTTCCTGAATGTAACATAACTCTGACTCCTTCCTAGCAAAGACACGTGTTATAAAAGAGCCTGCTCTGAGTGTTGAGCTTTAAATAAAAGAAAAGAAAAGAAAAGAAAAGAAAAGAAAAGAAAAGAAAGCTTTTTGGACAAACACTCCAGTCATCACCTGTGTCTTATAGCTGCAACATACAGTATGTTATTTATAATAAAATAAAATCTAACTTATCCATGTAAACAATTGACAGCCTCTGCATGGAAATGACTGCAATAATTATYTCATGGCTACAARTTATTATCTCATGGCCATAAGAYATTTTGTGGCCGCACAYTAATTTTTWAATCTAATAACCTGACAGGCTCTGTAGAATTTGATGTGGAGCATTTCTGTAAAATCTCTCCAGTGTGGAGGAGCTTGCTGGTGTTTTTAACTCTACGTGTGTGGTTATTTTAAACTCTGTTGCCCCGCTGAGGGTTAAAAAGACAAAGTCTCCATCTCAGCCGTGGCTGAATGAGACCACCYGCTCGCTCAGACGTCAGTGCAGGCGCACTGAGAGAAAATGGAAGAAGGACAAACTACAAGTTTCTCTGGACATTTTTAAAGCYTGTCTGCTGAAATATCAGACTGCTGTTAAAGCTAAAGTCTGCATTTATTTCAAACGTGGTTTTAAATAACAGTGACAGACCTAGGGTTCTTTTTAATGTTCTAAACTCTGTTGTGAATCCTTGTGATGCTGATCATGTTGTTAATTCTCCTGCACTGTGTGAGAACTTCTTAATTTTTTTTTAATTGAGAAGGTTTCTGCTCTTAGGCCCTCTTCAGATCAGGGTGACATTGATCCTTCTTCACCACCTGTCTCCTCAGCGGTTTCTGACCAMTTTGAACTGGTGTCTTTTTCTCATTTAAAGGACATTGTGCAGCGAATGAGGCCCACTAACTCACCGTTGGATATTGTTCCCGCTAATCTTTTTAAGGATGTTTTTTATACTGTTAGTCCAAGTGTTGTCACTCTAATTAACATGACACTTTCATCAGGCAGCATCCCAGCTTCTTTTAAGTATGCTGTGGTCCAACCCCTTATAAAAAAGAAAAACCTAGATCCAGGAGTTCTCACAAACTACAGACCGATTTCAAAACTTTCTTTTTTATCAAAGGTTTTAGAGAAAGTTGTTTTTATCTAACCCCAAGGTTTTTTACAAGACAATAATATTGGTGAACTGTTCCAGTCAGGTTTTAAATCCAGCCACAGCACTGAAACAATCCTTTTAAGAGTTTTTAATGATCTTCTTTTAACAGTTGATTCAGGAAGCTCTGCAGTTTTARTGCTTTTAGATCTTTCTGCTGCCTTTGATACCGTTGATCATAACATCTTACTGTCACGATTAGAGCAGCTGGTTGGTATCAAAGGCACAGTTTTATCCTGGTTTAGAGCCTACTTAACAAATARGAGTTTTTCTGTTCATTTAGGAGATTGCTCCTCCTCTACAGCTCCTCTGACTTGTGGGGTCCCRCAAGGCTCTATTCTAGGTCCTTTGCTTTTTAATCTATATATGTTGCCTCTGGCTGAAATTAAATTTCCTGAAGCTAAATGAAAGTAAGACAGAAGTCAACAGCTTTGGTAAAGACATTTTTTCTGACAATCTTGGTCTTCTGGCTTCATACAGCTGCTCTGCTGTCAGAAATTTGGGTTTCATTTTTGATAATGTGTTCAAATTGGACAGGCAGATAAACTCAGTGGTAAAATCGAGTTTTTTCCAACTAAGACTGATTGCTAAGGTGAAGCCATACCTCTCAAACAAAGACCTTGAGAAAGCGATTCATGCTCTCATTATATCTCGTTTGGATTATTGTAATTTTTTTGGCTCACCTCAACTCACAGCTTGAGCTCTGGAACCCAACTCTTGGAGAAGGGCTGGGCAACTCCTACTCTGGAGTTGCCCAGGGAGAGAGGCGACGGGCGGGTGTGGGGAAACTCACAAGTCTCTGGCTGTGTGCCTCAGTGTTGGAGTAGATGAGAAGGTTGCCTATCTGTAGCTACGTGCTGCAGGAGGGAAGGTTCTGACTGTTGTTTGTGCTTATACACCAAACATCAGTTCAGATTACACAGCCTTTTTGGAGTCCTTGGATGGTGTCCTGGAAGGGGTGCCATGTGGAGACTCCCTCAGTCTGCTGGGTGACTTCAGTGCCATAAGTGGCCCATAAGTGTACTTGGTACCAGGCCACCTTAGGCCAAAGGTCGATGATCGATTTTGTAATCGTGYCATCTRAYCTGTGGCCCTATGTCTTGGACACTCAKGTGAAGAGAGGGGCAGAGCTGTCAAATGATCTCTAACCTGTGGCCCTATGTCTTGGACACTCATGTGAAGAGAGGGGCAGAGCTGTCAAATGATCACCACCTGGTGGTGAGTTGGATCCGGTGGCAGGGGAGGCTGCTGGACAGACCTGGTAAACCCAAACGTATAGTGAGGCTGAACTGGGAACAATTGGCGGGGTCCCTTGGCCGTGCGATATTCAACTCCCACCTCTGGGAGAGTTTTTCACATGGGGAGGTCGGGGATATGGAAGGGCCATGTTCAGGGCCTCCATTGCAAATGCAGCTTCCAGAAGCTGTGGCCTGAAGGTCATCGGTGCCTGTCGCAGCGGCAACCAAAAGACCTGTTGGTGGACACCAGCGGTGATGAAGGCTGTCAGGCTGAAGAAGGAGGCCTTCCGGACTTGGCTTTCCCGAAGGACTCCTGAAGCAGCTGATAGGTACAGGGTGGYAAAGAGGGTTGCAGCTTCTGTGGTTGCAGATGCAAAAACTCGGGCGTGGGAGGACTTCGGGGAGGCCAAGGAGAAGGACTTTCAATTGGCCTCAAGGAGGTTCTGACAAACTGGTTGATGACTCAGAAAAGGAAAGCGTTCCCTGTCACAGGCTGTACTTGGCTTGGATGGGGAACTGCTGACCAGGACTGAGGATATTGTTGGGTGGTGGAAGGAACACTTTGAGGATCTCCTGAATCCACCCTCCATGTCCACCTTTGAGGAGGCAGAGTCTGAAGACTCGGGGGAAGATGTGTCCATTACCATGGCAGAGGTCACGAGGTAGTCAAAAAGCTCTTTGGTGGCAGAGCGCCAGGGGTGGATGAGATTCGCCCTGAGATGCTGAAGGCTCTGGATGTTGTGGGGTTGTCATGGTTGACATGTCTTTTCAACACTGCATGGAGGACTAGGACAACTCCTGTGGAGTGGCAGACCGAGGTGGTGGTTCCCATTTTTAAAAAAGGGGACCGGAGAGTGTGTTCTAACTATTGTGGGATCACACTTCTCACCCTCCCTGGGAAAGTTTACTCCAAGGTGTTGGAAGGGAGGCTCCGATCGATTGTCAAACCTCAGATTCAAGAGGAGCAGTGTGGCTTTYGACCTGGGCCTGGAACAGTGGACTAGATCTTTACCCTTGCAGAGTTGCTAAGGGGGTCATGGGAGTTTACCTCTCCAGTCTACATGTGTTTTGTGGACTTGGAGACGGTTTATGACTGTGTTCCTCAGGGAATTCTGTGGGGTGTGCTGCGGGAGTGTGGGGTGWCTGGGTTGCTACTAAGAACAATCTAGTCCCTACATAGCCAAAGCAGGAGATGTGTTCGCATTCTTGGCACAAAGTCGAGCTTGTTCTCAGTGCATTGGACTCCGCCAGGGCTGTCCCTTGTCTCCGATCCTGTTTGTAGTGTTTATGGACAGGATCTCAACGTGCAGTCGTGGAGAGGGTGTCTGGTTTGGGAACCACAGGGTCTTCTCTCTGCTGTATGCGGATGATGTGGTTCTGTTGGTGTCTTCAGACCAAGACATTCAGCATGCACTGGGGTGGTTCACAGCCGAGTGTGAAGCGGCTGGAATGAAAGTCAGTTCCTCTGAGTCTGAGGCCATGGTTCTCGACCGCAAACAAGTGGAATGCCCCCTCCGAGTCGGGGGAGAGTCTCTGCATCAAGTGGAGGAGTTTAAGTATCTGGGTGTCTTGTTCACGAGTGATGGTAGGATGGAGCGGGAGATGGATCGATGGATTGGGGCCTCATCCTCAGTAATGAGGGCGTTACTTCTGTCACTCGTGGTGAAGAAAGAGCTGAGTCAAAAGGCAAAGCTCTCGATTTACTGGTCTGTCTTTGTTCCAACCCTCACCTATGGTCATGAGGCGTGGATCACRATCGAAAGAACGAGATCCCGGATACAATTGGCCGAAATGAGCTTCCTTCGTAGGGTGGCCGGGTTCAGCCTTAGAGATAGAGACAGGGTGAGGAGCTCCATCATCCGGGGGAGCTCAGAATAGAGCTGCTGCTTCACCACATCAAAAGAGGTCAGCTGAGGAGGTTCAGGCATATGGTTAGGATGCCTCCCCCAGGAGTCAGGAGCGTACGAGTCTTCTTTGATATTCCCATAAAACAACAAAGAAAGTCACACCGGGCTGTAAACAACTGAACACGGCCCAGTGACAACAGCAGGTTAGGAACAGGACCACAAATACATCCAATAGAAACTCAGTAAGAAGACACTGTGTCAGCAGAACCCATGGCACAGTAGCTAAAAGGATAAAAAGTTGATACCTATTAAATGTAAAAAGAGGGTTTTCCCTGAAATAAAATATTACCTATCTGACCCAGATGTAATCAGACTGAACATCATCCTCTGCCTGTGGCTGTTTGTGTGTCTTCAGTAAACAATTTGTTGTGCAAAAAGGCAGAATAAAAACAAAACCAATCTTCTGGTGACCAAACTACGCTGATGTGGTGTTACTGTGGACACATACAGTTTATATTTACCGTTTCAGCTCATGGCTGACCTTAAAATAAATGCAGTTGCCTTGAATCGTGTCATTCCTTGATGTGGATACATTTTAACACAGAAGACAGTTTAGATGGTGTATTGGGTTAGTTCCAAATAAATAATAAACAACAGACATCACATATAAAACAAAAGCCCATTCCACAGAAACTTAATGATGTCTAAAAAAATATCTTACAAAATTGTCAGGTTTTATGATTATAAAGTTGAAATCTTAGTTTTAGAGTTTTCTTGTCAGTTATCAAATTAAATCTGAACTAAAAGGATGTATATTTACTGATGTATATTTGTAAATAACTCAAAAGCAGAGATTTTTGCCATGTGATGCATGTGTCTCAGTCTCAGGTTTGATGGATGAGAGCAGGGAAAGTGCTGTAAACTCAGGGTGTTAGAAAGTCTGGTGTTTTCTGCCCCCTAGTGGCTGCATGTTGCAGAGCTTTCTGTGCAGCTGAGCCTTGGCCAGGTCAGCAGAGAGTCTCCTGGCCATCCGGTCTGTGGTTTTCTTCATGCTGCGGGCAACCTCAATAGCCTGGTCCAAAGTCCTGCTCATGTCTTCTTCCTGGAAAACAGACAGAAATCTTCTTTAAAAAAAAAAACAAATGCACACAGTAGTCAGAAATGAGATGAAACTGACCTTTTTCCCTCTACGTCTGCTTGTCTTGCTGATAGTCCTGGGAGCTGGTGAGACTGGGGACAGTGTCTGCTGGAAGAGCACGTTACTGGGCAGGAGTGCTGAGTCAGACTGGGTGGAGGGTTTTCTCCGACAGGAGACAAACTGCAGCTGTGGTTCCCCCACCTTATAACTGGATCAGTGGGCAAAGAGAGAACAACATCCCTTTAACAGAAAAGAATGGTTCATGTACCTCATGGGGAAACTAATGAGAACTAGTATGTCATTTTCYGTGAAAATGCAGCATGAATACTAACGACTAGCTGATTATGCAGAAATTTGTTGAACAACGAATGTTAAAACAACAGAACTGCAGATAAAATGAAAACAAACTAGAGCTAAAAATGTAAATGAACAAAASARWAGGCAAAATATAAAAAGGGAAAAGTGACAGCTAAAACTAAAATGCGCAAAACTGAGGCTAAAAGTTATATTTAGTTAAATTGTTGCTAAATGTTACATTTAGTAACAATTTAGCTAAAATTAGGGTGACCAGATGAGATACTACTCGAGAGATGCTACATTTAATGTAGCATCAGCACCGGTTAGCTGAAACAGATTTCAGAGAACAAGTTTTTGAGGCGGTTGAAGAGATCTTAATACAGTTCTATGGGGAAATGTTTGTAAAGGAAAAGTTAAATAGTTCAAAATGTACACATAAAAATACTAAAACTCATAGTGTACTAAAACTCACAGAGACAAATAGCTATATTTAATATATAAATGGTTAAAATGACTCAAAGTTTGCAGGAGTAGTC